TCAGAGTCTGGAGAAAATACTTTCTATTATGATATAATGTTTACTTGACCGACCTTGTCTGGTTTCATGATTTTTATGATTTTTTTGTGCTCATAACCTTGGAAAAGTGTCTTCATGAAAGTTGTAGACAATGGTTTAGTATTTTCAGTCTAAAAAATTTCATAAAATTCCACGTTGATTTGGTTAGTACGATCAATGCTGAAAGTGACAATTTCAGTTCTATGAAAATTGTTTCCTGACTGACATTTGCTTGTTCTACGATTTTTATGATTTTTTGTAATTGAAATTTCAAGATGAGTTCTTCATGAAAGTTTTAACTGAGATTCTAAATTTTTCAATGGTATCAATTTTATCAAATTGAAACTCGTTTGATTGCTCAAAGGTTTGATCAATGTGTCGATTGGATTCCGCACTCAGATTTAAGCATTTACTTTTTTGAACATCCGAACATGTTTTTGTAATTTTGATAAACTTGAGGCCATTTTTTGCCACAACTCAAAGCTTAGAAGTTGTCCATTGGGGTCTTAATTTGTAAATTGGAAATTTTGAAGACCTAATGGCAATATTTGAGGGGTCCATTTGACAAAAATTGCAGAAAAGGTCAGTTTGGTCTTGAAAACTGTTTTGCGACTGAGTCCCGGGTAAAAACTGAATTACTGAGAAAAATCAGGGGGTTTTTTAACAAAATGTTAAAGATGAAAGTTGTTCATCACACGTTTTTCCAATACCTTGTAAAATTTTATACGTTTTTAACGTCATTTGATACTTTACCTGCATTTTTTTAAATTACGGGTTGAAACTAGGTCGAGTTTGGGTATCTAGGTTGATTTGCATTTTTTGGGTAATTCGGGTAAGAACCGATCCAAATGGTCTTCATGAACTTTAAATCACACCTCCTAAGCTTTCTAATGCCACTTGAACCATGTCAATCGGACTTCATTTGATAAGCCAATTGGGTCTAAACAAAACCTGCTTGAAATTTGAATTTTAATTGAATAAGTGATCCTCAAGAGGCTCACTTCCCCTTGTTTGATTGATTGAGAAACAAGGCCACTTGACCTAATTGCATGTTTAATTCTTTGCTTATGCATGTGTTTGCTAGATGAATGATTAGGTACAATGCATGTTCTGCGAGTAGCCTATCGAGGACACTTAGAATTGAATTTAGGGGTTAAGTGATATCGACCATCGTTTTGTGAATGCAAATGATAGCCGATTATCATTAACTATCAATCAATCAATCAAGTCATTAGGAAAGGGGGGTAATTGAAATGCATGAAAGGCGAAGGCCAACCTCGAGGCCATTCCATTGATTGATTTCGATAAACTTTGTTGCTCGATTGTTTTGAATGATTGCATGTGATTGCATGAATGAATGTGAATGAATGAAAACCGACACCATGGAGGTTGGCCAAGCGAGGCAATCCAAGGAGGAGGTGGACGAAGCTCTTGAAGACGGCGGCAAAAGACCAATGTCCAATCTGGTCTCAACCGCTTGTAATAGCTAGCTTAGTTTAATTAATAAACAAGATTAGCTTAGGCTTTAATAAAAATTGGTTAGTTAGAAGACCACTAAAAATCTAAGAAGAACCAATTGTAGTCTTTAGCATAGTTTAAGTCACATGTCCAATAATGAATAAGTGAAATGTGGACCATTATTAGACTTTAGGCTACTCGGTAGTGAGTTAACTACGCACTTTGGATCCAATTATTGGAATTGATGACTCGACTTTGAATAAGTGAAAACATAAGGCTCCTTGTAGCCTCGGTCATGAATGAGGCCTATTTCCTTGCCTAAGATAGGTTTAGACTTTAATGTTCACTTTGAGAAGTCCTTGAGAATTTTGAAGATGGAGATTATCGGCCGATGTCCAATCCGGTCTTAATTTGTACAATTTATTTGTTACTCGACCTTGTCTCGAGTTTTCAATTTGTTTTGTAATAATTGTTGGAAAAAATATGCTCCTTCAAATTGTAGAAGAAACGAAACTTCAACTTCAACTTCAAATGGGATGAACAACGAAGTCAGACTTTGAGGCAGAATATCACTTTCTTTAAGGAATTATTTGCCCCACGAAGTTGCTAATGGTCACCAGCAAATTTTCTCCAGGATACAACAAAGTCTCGATTGAGAATACCGAATAGCAATTTCGGTATATCTCCAGGGTCTCTCTAAGAAAACAATTAGAAAGAATGGCTGCAGTTTTTTGGAATGAAAAAAAAAATGTCTAAAAATCCGAATGAAGAGACTTGATATTCAACCATATAAAAAACTGATTCACTAATCGCAGCCTTTCGAATAAAGGCGTCCCTTCATCGAAAAGATATATAGTGAATTGGTACGAAATCAAAAGTCACGTTGAAAAAGGATGTATGAAAATTCGGAATAAAATAATAATAAAATAAAAGAATAATACTTTTTAATCATTTTTATTAATCCGAATTTTATAAATTCTGAAAAATAATCTTTGAACAAACACAACCTTTCAACGTTGAAGGAGTTACATCTGAAAAGGCATAACCTTCCAAAGGTGAAGTAGTTATGTCCGAAGGGACACAATTCTTTCAAAAGTTGTAAGAACGCCTAATACCCGTTAGGCTAAATAATAAATTTCGAAATTAATTAGTAAAAAAATAACCGCAACTCTATTGCGAACAATCACACTATTTCAATAGGATAAAATTGTTATTTTATAATAATAAATTCGAATTTAATAAATAAAAATAATAAATGAGGATTAGTGCTAATTATCATCTGCGAGCACGCCAAGTGCTAAGTGCGCCTAATAATCATGCCAAAATCGCATACCGGCACGCGGGTATTGAGAAGTTTAGTCCACACCCTATTGTCTTCACTTTAACATGGAAGAAGAAACTCACACATATAAAGTGGCCCACCTTCTCAAAACTTTCCTATGTGGGATAAAGGAAAAAGCACTATTTTGTTTGTTTTACAAACAAACAACCAACAATAATCACCTGACAAGTTGTGGGTTTTTCTTTATTGCACTTAGAATAGCTCGTCTTTCAATACATTGGATGTTTACTTTAGGCACCGTCTTTAAATACATTGTTTGTTCATGTCCTTTGCCAGACTAAGATAGGTTTAGTTTATAATCTTAAATGGAAAAACACAAAAAACAAAGTTCATGGACATTTAGTGGATTAAAACTTTGCCATGAAAATGATAAAAATAAATGCATCACCACGTTAGATAACAACCAATTAGATAGCGGTACCAAAATGGCATTAGTAGAAACATTAACGTAACATATTTCTTGTACCTAGACATATCTGGTTTCGTGAAAATCAAAACGAAATTCCCGCGTTTCGATTGGGTATTCTAGCCAACCCCCAACAAAAGCTAGTGGCGACTCCTAATTGATAAAGAACATGATCCCGTGTTACACGAGGCATGGACTAAGAGAGAGTCCATGTTCATGCTTGATGGACCTTATTGATGAACTTAAGGATAATGCTTTTTAAGCCGCCTTTTGGGATATGCCATTTAGAGCTTCTCTCGAACAATTGCCTCTAAATCTACGCCTAAGGTAGCCCTCGAAGGGTAGGTCGCGATAGGTCCAAATGGATACTTTGGATCTCTATATAGGGAAAAGTTTTTGTCCATCCTTTCTTGGTCACGAATGTAATATGGAGAGCACAACATGCAATTACAATAAGTGCTTCTTTCAAATTGTAAATAGAGGCATGTGTCTCAAATGAATAAGCGATTCTTTAATGCCCCAAATAACCTCTCAATGACTTTCCTTAGTGAAGAGTACCAATGGTTGAACAATTCTCTTGCTGTTATGACCATCTCCCTCTACTTTTATAAGTATTGAGATGATATTGTTCACCTTTAAACGGAGTTAAAAATCCCGAAAGTGTTGCATAACCAAAAACTACCATGTAGTATATGCCTATAACAAGGTATATACAATTTGTCATGATATGCAACTGCAATGCAATCATAAAGAAAATTACTCCTTACAGATAAAGCAAATATCGAGTAGTGATCAAGGAAATTGCATCAAGGAGTCTCGAGTGCTGCCGAGAGCACTTGACAATTGTTATTAGATCCTTCCCACCTAGCATACATGAAAGTAAATTTCATATCAAATGACCAAACACACATCACATTCTGGGTGGTACTTCCTTTCCTGCCTCTAAATGGGATCTGCTTTGACATAGGAATGGAAGCATTAATATGGGGGCCATCAATAGCACCTACGCAGCCCAATGATTTTATAAAAGTCTAGTGTTATACAAGATTATCAACTACATGTACTTGATGGTATAAAATCGATACGAAAATCAAACCTTGAAGTGGCGTTTATGGTTAGGATCCATAAGAATCTCCTCTGTACTTCATCAAAGGAAGGTGGTTTGATAACTTATTTTGACAGTTTGAGAACTGCTTTCAACACTATAGTGAAATACTTGCTAATTGTTTCTCCTAAACGTTGGAATTTATCACATAAATCTCTAATGAAGTACTTGTGACCAACTAAAGATAAGAAGAACCCAACTTGTTCATCTACCCTAATATACTGACTATCTTTCAACCAACCTCTTGCCCTCATTAAATCACATAGGTTCAGAAAAACATGTCTCTCCAACATGAAGGCTTCATATATTCTATCTAAATGTCCATAAACAACCTCATTTACCCACTCGGGGCCTGACAATTTACTGTCCCTAATAGGTTCTTTTGTATGCGCATACATGTCCACTGTAATAATGGACAACCATGCTATCATTTTGTCAAGATCAAACTTATCGAAGTACTGTTCAACTGGTGCTACTCGCCCATGCATTAGACACTATATTTGGTCCCCCTTCCATAGTGCCTATGCCATCACACAAATACAAGAACATCAACATAGATATCTCAAAAAAAAAAAAAACCCAATAACAACTAATAACATAAGTCGTAGAGTAAAAGCAAAACGAATATAAAAATCCCATGCAATCCATCATACCCATGCCACTACGCAATTACAAGAGTCTCAACATGAATATCTTTAAAAAACAAATAACAACCAATAACATAATTCAAAGAGTAAAATGAAACCAAATATAAAAATCCCACGCAATCCGTAGTACATTTCGCAACATCTACTTAAGACATTGGAGAAGTCCATTTCTCCTTTCCGTTGGGGATTTGATGAAATCCTCCCTCAATGTAGCACTAACGTATGCTCGTTCCACTGCTTTGTTGTAAATATCTTGCTCCAACTTAGGCATGCTAACTAGGACATCAATCACAGCAGATACGAAGAATGGGTCTACAGGTGGTGATGTGACTTGTGAGGTGGCAGAGCCACTCAGAGATTGACTTGCCTTAGATTTGATCATCTCTTGTATGGCTTTGCAGGTGCCTGCAACATCAAATGAGTTACTCTTTCTTCTCTTCTTGGTCTTTGGAGTCCTATTTAACTCGTGCTTGTCATGAACTGAAGTAGCAATATTGTCAGATGTAAAGACTCCCTTATCAATGTGGTGTTCACTGATGTCCTCTGGATCACCGTTTGCATCACCACCACCATTGTCATTTTCCTCCGACTCCATCAAATCTTCGGCATTTCTTGCTGCATGCTCCCCAGTAACATATGTATCACCAAATACAATACACAGCTCGGGATACTTAGGAAACCCATCATTCTTGAATTTTGCCCAATTCGCTATTATTCTGCAATTTGCACAATGATGACATATGTTAGCAACATAATCAAACCTCTTAAAATTTACATCTACAATGATCTCAAAATGACCAAAAGTTAAATGATACATTGATGTGAGGTTCCCATATACTTGGATCATTGATAACAATTGTTTTATTTACATTATCCCGGCTAAATCTAGATTGTGAAAGAAGCTTCTTAAAACTACCATATTGCTTTTTCAATTTGTTCACCTTGTTCTTCAACTATACTAGGTTATATTGAGTCCTATCTGTTTATAGAATTCAACCCGTGTGTTATACCACCCTACTTTGTTGTAAGTAGAAGAGGTGTGATTTCCCATTTTGACCTCTTCTACCAACAAACTTACATACAAGTTGGTTAAAGGCTCAGTTCACTTTGCGGTGAATGCCTCTTTCCAGGATGCCATTTAACCTTGACTGGTTGAGCATCATATGAGTCATGCATTAAATCATAAAATAGTCATGTAGGAATTACATGCAATACTGCATTAAATCATAACATAGTCATAACATTGTAACCATCCAACATTGGCTACCACATGCAACCATTCTCAAGAGATAGGGTTAACAATCAACAAATCAATGGCCCATAAAACAGCCTTATTTTTTTTTGTCGAGAAAAACAAACGGCATTAGTTTATTGAGTTATTCAATCGAATTAGTTCTATAAGACATGTAGATCCTCTTGATATGTACCTTACTCATTGAAACTTTGGGTATGAATGGTGAAAATGTTCTTGCATAAAAAATGAAATAAGAAACATAAGCCAAGATGTAACGTGCAGATTACATGCTTGTGAATCTTTGCATTTCTATCTTAACGATAAAGGTTTGAGGGAAAAAGTTCCAAAAACAATTGCACCATAAAGGAAAATGCATAATAAAGAAAAGAGAGGGCAGTAATGAGCTAATGATAAACAGATTTTGTATCTACTTTTTCATGAAACTTCAAGAACATAGTAACACATCAATCAACATGAAACGTTACCTTGTTCTTTAGAAACTTTGGATTGGTAGAAAGGGTCTGAATCAACGGATATCTGTCCTGATAAAAAACCGCAATTCCTCATGTAGGAATTACATGTAATACTGCATTAAATCAATGCATATTTATTCTTCATCACAATAGAACGTAACAGAGTAGCAAGCATAACTCTACTAAATCATTAGAGCTAACGTCTGTCACAGTTGACATTAATTCATATTTCTCTATAAGAAGATGAAGATAAAGATAAAAATCCGGATAGGCGATTCGCCAAAGCGAAAAGGTGGTTTCAGTCAAATCATGTGTAAAAATTGGGAAGTCCCAACCAAGTCTTGTGCAGATAGGCGAGAACGACCCTCGCTCAAGGCCGACGAGAGCAGCCCTCAACTAGATTGGCGAGGGCGGCCCTCCCAGATTTGTGAGTCAGCATATTTGTAATTTCAATCACGTCGAAGTCACGCCCATGCCCACGCGCTTGAAGCTTGATTCCATGATGGTGGTGAAGAGAGTGTTGATCTCAGTCACGCCCACGCTCTGCTTGTGAAGAAGACTGTCTTCTCTCTGTTGTGTCGATTGTGTAAAGACGAGCATTATGTTACCTTAAGCTTGTTTCTCTTTCTCTTTTTGTTCCCGGGAACAAAAAAGTATATTTTTTTTACTTCTTATTTCTGCTCTCAATCTATTCTCTGACCACTGATCTATTCATGTAAATAGAAAAATTAACTGACATACACAAACTAATTTTTTTCTTTTTTTATTTCGGAGAAAAAAAGAACAGAAAAATAGATAAAAATATCAATTACTAAATTGGCCCTAAATGATTTGGAAAACATTTTCATAAAAATGACTGCTTGTATCGCTAAAAATAATTAATCAATGGAAAATATTTTCATTATCGACAACAATTTATATCTAAATATTTTCGCGAACGATAAAAATATTTTCTGTTCATTCATTTTTTCAAGTGATTCAAGCAATCATTTTTAGAAAAATGTTTTCGAAATCATTTATTTTCCGTGAAATAAACGGAATTTTATGTTAGCTCTAGCTAGATTGTACCCTACGCATATATCTGAAAACATTAGAGAAGGTTATTTCTAACTTTCTTTCTTTCTTATTCCTGTGCGCATTTCTAGTTTCCATTTATGCTGATGATGTAAACATTGCTGGTAAAGATTATGCAGCCTGGTTTCCATGATGAACATTAGGGGTGTCAATGGGTCGGGTCGGGTCGGGCTTTCCTGATACCCGACCCGACCCGAAACGTAGAGGGTCGCCCTTGACCCGCCCCGCCCCGCCCCTACCCAAGACCCTATTCAGCATTTAGCTCAGGAGATGGGTCGGGTAGGGTCGGGTCAGTGCCGGTGCCACAACGCCAAAACATCCTCCCGCTCAGTCTTTGTCCGGCGCCGACACCCCTTTCTCTCGCTTGAAGGGTCTATGGACGGGGCGGCTCCTCCGCCTCACGCCGCCGTTTCCAGCAGCTCCCAACTTCCGGGAGGGCATGAACCGGACGGTGGTCACCGAGTCCCCGCCGCCGGCTCCCCTCCTCCAACCCCGGCGCTACGGCGGTGATTGGACCAAGATCTACCTCGTCATGGAGCTCGGCCGGCCGCGGCGAGCTCTTCTCCACCGCGACATCAAGCCATAGAACCTACTCCCGGATGCTGCGGGCGCGCTCAAGGTCTCGACTTCGACCTCTCGGCACTTCTTGAGCAGCCCGGACGGGCTCCTCCACACGGCCTCGCGGGACCCCACCGACACCGCCCGGAGGTGGTCCGCCGCCGCGGCCACAATGGCTCCAAGGCCGACGCCCGGTCTGCGGCGCCATCCTCTTCGTCCTCCTCGCCGATTTCATGCCGTTTGACGCACCACAACCTCGTCTAGATCTAGGGTTAGAGAGGGAGAAGGAGAGAGAGAGAGGGAGTGGGGTTCGGTGGTTCTGCAACTTCTGTCTAGATCTAGGGTTTGTACGTAGAGAGAGAGAGAGGAGAGAGAAAAGGGAGAGAAAGGGATTTTTACGTGGAGATAGAAAAGGGAGAAAAGGGGGTTCTGAAGGGTCAATGGGTCGGGCTTGACCCTACCCTAATTTTAATAATACCCATATCTAAAAGCCCTACCCTAAAAAAGTTGAGACCCAACCCCAAAATACCCCAAATTTTAGGGCCGAGCCGGGCCAGCACGGGTCGGGCCGGGCCGGCTCGGGTCTTTTTGACACTCCTAATGAACATGATGTGATACCAAATTACTTCGCTTAAACTGAGGTTCAGCATATATTGATTCATTTCTGGCTCAAACCAAGTGTAATTGTTGCATTACCAAGTTGGTGTCTTCCTTCTCCAAATTCGGGAAAAGTGTCAGAAAAGTTTTAAACCTATTACATTGGTGCCAATTTAGTCCTAAACTTTTTATCTTTGTGCCAATTCAGTTCTTCCAACTAATTTTGACCGGATATTGCTGACATGGACGCCGGCTGGTATAGAAAAAAAGAAAAAAAGAAGAAGAAAAAGACAAGAAAATTTTTAAAAAAATTCAAAAAATAGTAAAATATTATTAAAAGTTATCCATGTCATCGCCGGCGGTGCTACGTAGGCCGGCCGACGTCCGCGTCAGCAATATTTGGCCAAATTTAGCCGGAATGATTGGATTGACACAAAGACAAACGGTTTAGGATTGAATTGGCACCAAAAAAAGGTTGAGGACTAAATTGGCAACGACGCAATAGGTTTATAACTTTTCTGACATCGCTTGAATTGGTATGCACCCCTTAAGAAAGGTGCTCCACCATTGTTTAGGTATCAATTTGACGGAAGAATGCATTTAGTAATCACAGACATATGCGGGCAAATCCAATGTTTTGACAGTAGAAAACTTCCTCCGGTCCTCTTTCAGTACAGCTCTCTTCCCATACTTTCTCAGCTGAAGCTACCCAATTGGCAACAGTGACAATGAACAGCCAAGAAGCCTACTTTGTTTATCTTAACACGTGTTCATGAGATGTGGAGAACCAGCTTCCCACCCCCCATAAAGTTTCTCTCACGTTCTCAGGAAGAGAAATCTGACGCCTTGGTTCAATCGGTCTTCGACTTATCTAGAGAGCCCAGATAACCTCCTTTTGATTTTATTGTTGTACTTCACAGGAATTGCTAAAAAATTGAAACTCTATATGCAAATGTTGTGATGGATAAGTGGTGAACCTGAAGAGAATTCAGGGGCAATGGGACTTTTTAATATTTAGGATCATTAAATAAAGAATCCATAGAATTTAAGTACATAAAAAAATAAACCAATTATTTATAGGTAGTTTTTTTGAAAATGCAAATACGTACAAAACAATTTTTATCGTTTAAAAACGACAAAAATAGATAAACTCCTAATAAAAGAATATATGACTAATATTCAAAATTTGATATGACGGGAAAGAAAAACAATACTTTTTAAAACTTTGAATAGAGAATAGTAAGACTTAAATTAGTCATAACGCCCATCGGATTATATGCCATTATGCATCTTCATTTCCACATTGTAAGATAAAATCGACAGTAATTTCAACGGTGAAAAAAAGGAAACTTCAAGCCTTTATAGTACATCTCTAAATAGTTATTTTAATTTGAATTGCAAAAGTTGAGATTTCGTTCATTCTACTTTTGCCACCCCAAAAGGGAAACTTGTACTAGAGATTGTAGGGGAAGACATTGAAACAAAAATAGTGGATAAAAGATTGGATTTTGAATCATTCAAAAGTGGGGTATAAGTAAAAAGTGTGAAAAAAAGGATGGTTTAAATCCAAAATTCATAGAATATGGAGACCTTCGACATTGGGGTAGAAAGGAAGCACAGCTGACCGATGAAACCAATCCACTTATCCATTACCTTTGGTCCTGTCTTGTACTGAGATTTCTCAAGAGAATTATGCAAATGCAACCTTTCAAGCTGGTGGGAATAAAACAGAAAAAATTAATCTTTGAATGTTATGACGCCGAGTTGTGGCTGAAGACAAATCGTTGACCTGCTTTCAGATGGCAACTCTATATTTATTGAGTCCACAAGACTGACCCAATTGGCAAATATTGATCAGCAATGGAGCTAGCGCATTCATCCAGGGATCTCGTCCCAGTCTCGGTAAATATTTCATTAAAGCAAATTCCAAATAAAAAAAATAGAACAATAAAGCACAAGTTGTTGTAATAAGCACAATCTTATCCCAAAAAGACAAATTTGTCTCAACATCAAAGCAAAACAAACGGTG